GCTGCGTCACCATCAGCAACAGCAACAGCCTCAGTCCCCTCAGTCCCACAGTTCCACACCTCATCACCTCATCCATCCACAAACTGCATGAAGCCAGACCCAACCTCATGCCCAGGTTTTGTCTTTTAATTTATGGCATTTTAAATGCAATTTACTGCCTCTGCAGGCTGTCCTCAATCGTGCCACCTCCACATCCTGAAGGCCGATGGCTTTGGCCGAATGTGTCATGTCGGAATGCCAAAAACTATTATGGCCTTCCCGCCGCACAAAACTTCAGCAATCAACACGCAAAAGTTGTGACCAAGATGTAAATGCCGCAATGAAAAAGGAGATAGCAGTGGAGCTGAAGCAGAATCCCGAAGCTGGAGCTGAAGCTGATGCTGAAGCATTGTTCTCCGTCCAGGATTCAAGCTGTTGTTCAGTCCCAGCTGTGGCTCCTACTGTTCCTTGTATCTGCTGCTTATGTGCCCTGAGTATCTTTGTTTGTTTTCCCTGCCACTCACTTCAGTTCATCTCTCTTCATCTTCATCCCTTCGTACTCGTAGCTGTTGCTGTTGCTCCGCATTGCTTCTTTAGATGTTGCTGCTGCTCCTCTGTGTGCTTTGGGCCAATTTGTTTGTCTGCACCTTCGCCTCCTGGCCCTATCACCATCTGGTTCACCATCAACAGAGCTCTTTCCCTCATCGCTTTGTGCGGCCCTGCCCTACCTTACCCTACTCTGCCTCGGCTTTGGCTTACTTTAATTGTTAATTTGGCTTATGGCTTCTTCATTGTCGTCGGCCGCCTTGACCACAAATCATATTCTCTCCTCCCCAGGGAGCCCGGCTCTTCCACCAGCTGGCGAGAACTCACTTAAGGTGTTTTCTCTGGCGCAGTCCTTTTGCGGCTTCCAGGCCATTTGCCCAGACAGCAATACGCACGGACAAAAGGGGGAGGGCGCCGCAAGTCGCTTGCGGGTTGCTGGTTGCTGTCTTGCGGATTGCGGTGGTGTGAGTAAATGTAATCAAAATCAAATTGCTGAAATTGTTATTTAATTAATATGGGACCAGCTGTGATTTGCCTGCACGTTATGAACTGACTGTAGTATATGGATGCTTCTCTGCCGAGTCAGCAGGGGATTGGGCTGGTAATAAGGCATGGAAATAAGTATTTCCATGGTCACTTAAAACACTCAAGGGGCATACATTCATACATACATACATACATAAACGAGTACGAGTATATTGAAATTAAATATATTATTACGAGTGCGAGACTCGTATTCCTCTGCGCCAATCATCTGAATAAGCAGGCGCCCAGGCGGCAAGAATTCCATAAATTGCTCGCTTGTTCGGTTCGGATTGCGTTGTCTACTTTTATGAGTACTTACATACATACTTATGCTGAAGACTGACGAAAACGACGACTGAGACAGCGGTACTTCGAGCGCCCTCTGACCATGAAGTAACTATAAGGTCTCGTCGCCAAAACTAAGAAATTCGTGCGAGTGAAAAGGCTCTCGCTGTATGTGTGGGCAACGACTATGGAGTGTGCTGATTAACCATTTGAAAGCCATGTGAAAAAACAAAATAATTGTTTAATAATTTAATTTGTAATAGTTTGCTACATGATAGCAGTCTTTGTTTAAAAAAAAAACATTTTGAAAAAATTTGAAAAAAAATGTTGTCCGCAACCAACCTTCCGCGTCGACAAGCAAACGAGCACTGACAGTAAGAAAAAGCGGCGAGTAACTCTGCCACCGACGAGGCCTCCTTATAGTTTCTTCATGCCTCTGACCAGCAGCGTCTGCTGCAGTACCTTGACCCTCGCTCTCGCGATCTGTTCTTCGCTCTACTCTCTGCTCTCTCAGCTTGCCATCGGCTCTTGTGAACGGTGCGGACAGGCATGATGCAAATATACAAGATGATCGCTGTCTTCGCTTCGTTTTGCGCCCTTAGAGATCAATGCGTATTTGCTTGTCAAATTATAAAACAAACATAAACTCGTTTTCTGCACACTCTATTGTCGTTTCACTCAAATTTCAAGTTCAACTTCTGTTACCTTGGTTCTCTTAAGCGGGAAACTGGCTGTCACTGGCATAATTTGTTTAACCTATTGAAATGACCTTTCAAGCGCACCAGCGAATCCACGCTGCACGAACCTTGGACCATGGAGAGCTGGCGGCCAGATAGAAGCATCACTAAACCGACGTGATATAAGGCCGGACAGGCGAAGATGATGGCTAAAGTGTGAGAGAACAACGAACAAGAACGAGGATAGAGCAAAAAAGAACTGGTTGCCTTGGGGCGAGGGCTGCCAACTTGGTAATAACTCAATGGCTAAATCAATTGACGCTTTTGCTCTTGGCCATTGAAACTGCCGCCACTGCTGTCGGCTGCCGGATAGTTCGGTTTATGCACAGTCATAGTCATGGTCATGAAAAAACTATAAGGAGGTTTCGTCGGTGGCAGAGTTTCTGGCTGGTTTTGCCTATTTTCAGTGCTCGTTTGCTTGTCGACGCGGAAGGTTGGTTGCGGACAACATTTTTTTGTCACATTTTTTCAAAAAGTTGTTGTTTTTTTAAAAACAAAGACTACTATCATGTAGCAAACTATTACAAATTAAATTATTAAACAATTATTTTGTTTTTTCACATGGCTTTTAAATGGTTAATCAGCACACTCCATTGTCGTTGCCCTCACACTTGCAGCGAGAGCCCTTTCACTCGTCCGTTCTGCTTATTTTTTCCGACGAGACCTCCTTACAGTTTCTTCATGGTCATGGTCAGGCCTTCTTCAGCAACGCCCTCGGAGCAACAAAAGTTTCCAAAACCAACGGTCCAACGGTTGAGTTTCCGTTGTTCCGTTGCTCTGCTATTGGCAGTCCCCTGAGCTGCAGATCTGCCCCATACCACTCGTCTGCTCCAAAGCGCCGTGTGCCACTCGGCAGCATCAAAACAAAAAGTCAAATTGAATTACTTTTGCAACATGGCAACGACGTTGAGGCAGCAACCCACCGTTGCGGCAGTGGCGGTGGCTGTGGCGGAGGCGGAGGCAGCCACTCATTGTTGTTTAAGCCGTTGTTCTCTCTGCTTGTTGTTGCTCTTGCCACTATTATGCTTGTAGTGTTTCCCGTACAAACAGTGGCAAAACACCTGACCAAGAACAGTAGGAGCTGCAGCAGCTGCCATCTCTTTCGAATGCCGCTCCGCCAGTCGGGGCCGGCCGAGTGAAAAGCTATTAAAAGAAGAGTACTTGGATGGAATGGGGCAGCCAACAGGAGAAGTGGAGTGGCCAATGGTACGCCTTTCACTCGGACTATCTCAACAAGGCGGCAGAAGCGCACCACGGCTATAGTCGAGTATTGTTTCGACCAAAGAGATAACTTCTAGTCATGCAGTCCAACAGACAAGCAGTCCTTTCCAAGCAGACCCAATAGACAGCATACAAGTGAAAGCTTCTGTAATTCATTATGCGATGTACACCAAATTACGCCAAACAATGACCAAATATGCAGACTCTTGATCTTAAGTAACAATTCCATGTACATGTCATATGGCCTCTATCTCCGGACATTTACAACGGAAAACATTTCTTATGCTTTTCATCAAAAACCTGTGCGAACTTCCGCAGGAACTGGCGCAGGAGATGGCTCTGGGACGGTGGGCCAAAGAGATGGGGCAGTGCCAGAGCAGGACGAAGCTTTTAAATGCCGGCACACAATGGCAGCGGACGGCGACGAACATTTCGTTGCATAAGTTGCACAATCCCGTCGATGCCTCTGACTCTCCCTCTCTCTCTCTCTTTTCAGGCCCCAACTTTTTCCCTATTCAGGCACAATAGAAGTAAATTCAGCCCCATCTCGCTCTTAGCAGATGCTTCTCTGCTGTTGCTCCAGCCCTTGCTTCGGCAACGACACCGCCTCCATTTTTGTGTGGCCCCGACAACTTGTTGGCGTTGTTTCCTGTCAATCAGCGCCCTGCCCCTGCCACTCGGCCCGTTAAAGCAGCATTGTTTGAGGCAAACAAAAAAACATAATCTAAATTTTTTAATTGTCCCAGGATGAACCTGATTGCCTGTCCGGTGCGGCAAAAGTTTGTGGCAATCGCCATGGCAATGGGAGCTGTGAGCTTTGCTGGGACCCTGTCTTTTCTCACTTCCCTTAATAGTAAATAGGGTATATTGTATTCGTGGGGAATAACGGTTGTATGTAACGCACAGAAGGAAGCGTTTCCGACCCCATAATATATATATATTCTTGATCAGCATCAATAGCCGAGTCGATAGAGCCATGTCTGTCTGTCCGTCTTGTTTGTCAGCTAGTTCTCAGAGACTATAAGAGCTAGAGCCACCAAATTTCGGCTCCGGACTGCTGTATGCTCACACTGAAACCAGTGTATTTCAAAAATGAGCCCCGCCTCCGCAAAAGGGCGAAAACCTCCCAAATCTACAGTTTTGAAGTTAAAAGAAAACTAAAATTCCGTAGGAAATGGCCATATCTATCAGATCACCAAATTGGGATCCGATCGGATCATTATTATAGCCACAATGGATAAATTAATTTCCAGTGACTAAACCCACCCTGTCCCGCAGCTTTTGTTGCTCTTTTTGCATTCTCTCATTCACACTCTGCTTTTGCTTCACTCGGCCCTGCCTCTGCCCTACCCCACCGGTGCCTCTTCCGACTTTTAACCCACCCCGTCCCGCAGCTTATATTTGTTTGTTTTTTTGTGTGCGGGCGCTGCCTCTGCCGCGAGTCTGCAGTGTGTGGGTCTAGGGAAGGGCGGCGAGCTAAAGGAGCGTGTTGGTGTGAGAAGTGTTGTAGATATAGAAACAGATGAAGAAAAAATTTAAAATTTGACAAAACACCGCTGGAGATGTAGTCCTGAGTGCCGGGTATAAAAGTTGTTACGCGTATGAAGCGTCTCACACGTCCCTTCTCGTTTATCCTTTGATCTAGACATGCAACGAAGACTAACGATCGAGTGATTTAGCTTGTCCCACATGAATTTATTAGCTGCCCAGCGCAAGTTTCTTATGTTTGTGTTATGTGTGAATCAATCATCAGTTTAAACGTAACAAATAAATAAATAAATAAACACCTTGGGAGAGGTGAAGTCTGAGCTCTTGGCTCAACAAATGGCACAGACAGCATCGGATGATTTCGGCTCCGAATCTACCTTGACCAAACTGTAAAGAGTTTCAAAATGTAATATATAAATAATTCAGTCGAATTTCTTTGTTTTTTTAAACAACTTACGCCACCTCGTGGCCATCCGCGCCTTGCTCTGGGCCCTTCTCTGGACCCTCCTCTAAGGCGTACCCTTGTTCGCACTCTATGCCGCCCTCTGGGTCGTACACTGCGCACTCTTCTGGGTCCTCCTCTGACCCCTCTGCTGTAGCATCATCAGCCCAATAGCCCAACACTTCCATTTCTTTGGTTATCTCAGCCAGCTGCAATAAGGTTTCCCTGGGGTTACCCAAGCTTCAAAAGGCTGAATTTGCAGCAGAAACACTTACGCCTTCGGCCACGGTACGTCGCTTTTCTTTGTAGATCGCGTAGAGCTCATGATGACGTGCCACCAGCTCCCTATAGGCTTTCTCTTTGGCCTGGAAACGCTTCTTAATCATAGTGATCTCAGCCCTCTCGCGTGTCACCTTCGGTACTCCCCGGGGAGTCTCAAATATCTCTATTATCTGCACACCCGACTGAGAGTCATCGTCGTCGTCGTGCAATGGTCCAAGCTCCAGCGACTGTGGGCTGGCCTCGTAGGTGCAAATCTTGAATTCCCCATCGGTACCAGCCTGTGAATTATTCTTGTATTGACAAATCTCACCGACCTCATAGCGAGCCACATTGGAGTTGTCACAGTCTGGGGGAATCTCTGGGCTTTCATCGTACCACACTTTTGGTTTTTCCAACTCTGGGAGAATCTCCGGATCCAACTTGAAGTTGTTCGCGTGTGGAGCACTGTCAAGGGGCTCATCCAGAGCTAGCTGTGAGCTAATCACGTCTGTGGCCATCTCTGAGATCTTGCTGGCAGTCAACTTGGAGTTTCCCAGATTTGGGTAAACACCACGCGACCGATAATGAACCAACTGCGATTTTTCCACATCTTGGAGCACCTCCAGTCCCACACAAGAACTGACTTGCTGATGCAGCCGATTCATTGTACTGAATCTATTCGTCTCCACGTTTTGGAGATTTTCGAGTGACTGACATTCAAACCAGGGTTGAGGGTATATTCAAGGCCTCCCAAGACGCTGACGACCTGAACCCTGGGACTCGACGAGGCACATAGACCAGCTGAAAATAGAGCCAGTGAAATAAATAATGAAATTCATTGGAAAACTAAGTTGCCAAGTGTACATACAAAGAGAAGAATTATTCCATTAGAGGATTTGTATTTACTTCAAAAATAATACGAAACAATGAGAGCCTAATGGAAAATTTTGTATCAAAGTAGCCCTAGCATATCCTCCCCCATTTGGGTATGAAGGATCCAACATAAATATTCTTATCAGTTTTTATTAAACCCGGAACTCGAAGAGTGAATAGGGAATATTGTATTTGTGCACAAGGTTGGATGCATGTAACACCCAGAAGGAAGTGTTTCCGACCCCACAAAGTAAGTATAAATATTCTTGATCTGCGTCAATAGTCGAGTCGATATAGCCATGTCTGTCAGCCCGTCCGTCTGTCCGTCCTTATGAGCGCCTAGTACTTAGAGACCATAAGAGATCTGGCCAAGAAGTTTTGCAGCCAGATGGCTGCATGCTCACACTGTTACAAGCGTATTTCAAAATTTCGCCCCGCCCCCTTCCGCCCCCACAAAAAGCGAAAATCAGCTGAGTCCACATTTTTAAAGCTAAGAGAAAAATCGAATGAATAAAGAAGAAATTCATTTGCTGTGACTAAACCCACCACTTTCAGCTTTTGTTTTTTGCACATTCTTACATTCACATTTGCGGGCGGCCTAAAAGAACGTTTTGGAAGGATGAGTGATGTAGATGTAGATGACAGTTGAAGAACAAAATGTAAAATTTGACAAAAAACCGCTAAGGTACAGATGTAGGAATGAGTACCGTGTATAAAAGTTGTGACGCGTAAGAAGCGTCTCACACGTCCCTTCTCGTTTATTGGTCTAACAGAGTCTTAAACTGGTTTAAAGAAATTCAACGATCCGAAACCGTTTAATTCTTGCGGTTTGCGGTTTTCGATTGTGACTTTTGTGTGTTTCTGTATTCTGTGTGAGTTCTGCAGATTTCCAAAATAACCATGAACATCCCAAGAGAGACCGAGCTTTGTGATTGATCGATAATACTATTCGGACTCCTGGACTCGGAAAAACTGTTAAAGAACTTTAAAAGCTTTGAATTATTATAATTCAGACACTTCTCTGGCTCCTCTCTGACACTCACTCTCTTGTCCGCCCATCAGTTAGATCCTCTAAAGATCTCGAAGCATTTGCGGGCTGGTTGCCCATTTTGGGTGTTCTGTTGGGTCCTTTTCTTTTCCGTCTGCACGTTGGTGATGTCTTTCAGTGGCTCTCGTTCCATTTTCGGAGTATGTTCTCTGTTCTTTGTATATTGTATTTCTGGCTAAACTGTGAAGTTTGTGGAGTTAGAGAAAGATAAGTCAGTCAGTCTGGTGAAGCTCTGTTCAAGGTCTGCTTTGAGGGGCCTCAAACCCTGACTGGACCGACCCCCGATTCGGGTCAGGGAGGCATGGACCAGACGGAAACTTGGTCAGTGTAATAAATAATGAATATATGTATGTACATATGTGGAAACTGATATTGTTGTCAACAGCAGAAGCAGAACAAACAACGACAGCACCAACAATGGCAACCGGTCCCCTCGAGCCTTGAGTTAAGTGCAACACGCGCGCTAAGCGGCTGCATTGAAAGGCCTCTCATGCAAAGTGTGGCAAGTGGGGACTATAACGCAAGGAAGCTGCCATTTTTGTGGTACACACCAGCAGATACTTATTTGCGAATCAAATTTATTGACATCCTTGTGGATACTTTTGGGTCTAAATAGTCGATGGATCGTGGTAAAAAGAGCCGAGTGACTGAGTCTCTTCCATTGGCGGACTTGCCTTGTAGCCATTCCAGGAGAGTATAAATTCATCTTTACCTTGCTTGTGGTATACCCCATGCCCTCGGATAGCACTGGGTATAAACATGGATTTTGTTTTTGTTATTTGCTGTTGTTGGCAGGCAGGCAAAATCAAAAGCAAATGCCACAAATGATGAAATGTTAAAATGCATGAAATGCATCACCAATGCCAGTGCCATGCCACAGGAAGATTGGTGAGGCTTGCCAGAAGCAGTAGGCAGTAAAGAGCACAGAGAAAGGGAGAAAGAGAGAGAGAGAGAGAGAGAGTAAAAGATGGGGACGGAGAAGGCAGGGCTTCCAAGTGGGCGCTTGATTACAGTGAAATGCACTCAAAAGTGGCGAACGAAGCGATGCCGCCAGCGAATGCTATCGAATGTACGACAACAACACCAACACATACACAAACAAATATGTACATACATATATGTATGTTTGTGAATATAGAAGGGAAAATTCTGCACCAAAAAGTTCCACAATTACATTTAAGTGACGCAAAAGTTAAGTGAAACTTATTGCGAAAATCGCGGCTAGATGAGGATTGAGAGTAGCGATAGGATGGATGGGAGGGTACGGGATGGTGGAACGGGTTCAAGGGTTAGCTGCCACACTGTTGAGTGCTTTGGTATGCCAATAGTAGGCACTTGAACTATTTCTGTGTTCTCGCACACTCGCGCACACATTTTCCAGTTGTTTACGGGCTTGTGTTGGGATGGGAATTGTTTTCGATGGATTAGATTGGTTGGGGGGCAAGTGAAAGAGTATCAGCATTTCAGACAGCATTCAAAGGATGCCTGCAGCTACGTTTTCTGCTGACTGTGGGCTTCGCGGGGACCTTGATAAGAGCCGGATAAAGGATATACTCCAGCTATAGCCGGATATACTGCATCAACAGCATGCATGGCAAAGCCTGTTCTTAACCTGATATGTTGGGGCAGGTCGAGGGATCAGCTTCAGCTTATCTTTTAAGTAGGAATCCCCTCTACGATCACGAGCGTACACTGCAGCTCTCCCAGTCGGAGACATGGGACATGGGTTGACTGACTGCCTGCCTGCATCCATCACTGCCACTTTCCGAGCATTAGGATGAAAATGAGGAGGATGATAATGACGATGATGATGATGGCTGGCGACATCTCGGGTTGTGCCTGGCTTCACTTGTATTTTAGCCTCATTTGCCACATGGTTTCGCTTGTCTTACCCCATCGCAATCCAAAACCCGCTCAATGCAACATACTTTTCTGTTTGGGAATATTCCCATTTCGCAGTTGGTTGTTTCTATCTGTCTGCCTGTCTGTCTGTCTATTCGTGTGTATGTCTATCTGCCGCTTGTTGGTTTCCTGCACTAATGATGCATTCTCAGTTGCAACACTGCCACAGTGGCATTCACTGCAACATGGCGACGGCAGTGGCAATGGAAGCGGAAAAGCGCAACAACGGCTTTCAGTCCGACTGACTCTCGTGTTTTGTTGGGCCCCAGTAAAATGTAATCTCCTATCTCGACCAGCTACCAGTGTCAGTACGCTTCTCTTCTGTGTCCTGTTTCCTGTGCCCAGCACTCATGGGAGCAGACAGCCAACCAACCAACCAACCAACCAACCAACCGAACCGAACAGACAACCAGCAACCTTTATACCATATACATTTCATTCTACCTGCTCTTCTGCTGTCTCTCACTCACTCTATCATTCTATCTCCCTCTATTTATGCACCACATTGCTACTGCTTCATCTTTCAGTCTCTTTCTGTGACAAAATAAAGCGCCAATTTCCAACTGTGCTCAGAATTCTTTGCTACTTTGGAGTAACCTAACCAAGGGCAGTGCCCAAACTTCTTCAACAGAAGAATAGATTTTTAAACAGATTCGATATGGTAAACACTATTGAGAAACACACCATAGCTGAAATCGGAACTGAATCAGCTATGTAACAACAAACAAACAAATGCTTGATCAAATATCGAGCTTTAAGCTCACCTAAACATCAGTATGCGTACTTGCACAGGTTCAGTGTGTTTGTAATTTTCGGCTTCGCTTTAAACTCCGCTTGCGGGTTCGGGTGTGTTCGGCTCCATTAAGTTTCAATGTGAGCTCGATTGTTGATGCGAAAGATTGTGTGCGGACGAATTGGTTCCGTCATATTAACACTATTTTTTGTAGAAAAAAAGCAAAACAAATTTACTAAAAAACAAAAAGTAACGAGTACTTTCAAGTAGTAGCTTATTGAAAAATAAAATTATAAAAAAAAGTTATACTCTTGTTCTTGTAATGGGCAACTTTAAACCCCATCTCAACATAGGGTTAATCATCTCACGATAGTTTAGTTTCACTCACACTCCGACGAGACTACCTTGTATAGTTGCATCATGCCCATTCCTATGCCGAAGCCACACGAAGTCCTTACGCTGTGCGTGTGGCGACTGCGCTGCCCGAGATTTATTCCTATGCACAAAGGTTCTTTTAGACGGTAAGTCTCAATCGCAGATTCATGTGTACGTGTGAAGCTCACAATCTCATTTCACGCATACAATCGACTTAGATATATGCGCAAAGTCAAACGCGCGGAGCTTTTCGGCTATGTCTCTGGCTCTGTCCTCATCTATGATCCACGATTCATGCCAAATGATTCAACGTGTGAACAAAGCGTGATTCCTCATATACATGAAAGCTCTACGCCTTGTAGACTCAGCGTCTAAAACGACCTTAAAGCAGCTTCAAATCGCAATGCGAACCTACAGCGACAGCGTTAATGAATACTTCTCTCTCCCTCTCTCTCTCTATATATATATATCTATATCTCTCTCTCTATCTGTTTCCGACTCTTTCTGGCTGCTGACACGCACTTAGGTTCGTTTAAACAGGTACAATTGAGCGTTGCTAGTTGATGGCATCAGAGAGCAAATCCCTTGTCGCTCCATCGTCCGTTCAATTGAGTTTCTTCCGCCACGGATCCTGCCTCGGGCAGACGCCCCATTTTCTCTTTGAGGACACTCACCATTAGAATTGTGGTTGTGTGGTAATGCTCTGTCGGAGGGGGGCGGGGAATGTTCTTGATAAACACGCTGGGCAAAGAAATCGATGCATAAATTAATCCTTAATATCCTGACCTCATCGATGCCTGAGCAAACGGCGATAACAGGACACAATACAGCACAGGACACAACACAGCACATCACAACACTTGAACACAACAATGGAGTCGTGGCGGCTTCTGTTCCTGCAACGATTACTCGCAGCTGTCAGCAGATTGCAACTTTAAGTACCTGGAAGATTCTCCCGCTCCGCAATCACATCGACATCGGCATCAGCATCCTCCATCCCCATCCCCAGCAGCACCCAATCCAATTCATTCCGAGTCTAAGTCCAACTCCATATCGAGAATCGTTCAATTTTTCAACACCGACAAATTAATTTTTCTCGCTTTCTCGCAAGGGTCTGGCCAAAGGCCAGATACGACCGACCAGTGACCAGTGCCCAAATGCCCAATGGCCAGTGCCAAATTCAAAGATTTACGAGCGTCTCCGTGGGGTTTCTTTGGGCCAAAATCAGACAACCTTGGCAAATTGACTTTTGCTTTTGGCCTGAATTTAAACTTTGGACGAAATCTGCAGAGTTCTTCTGCATGCGGATAATGCAGGCAACACACACACACGTTGTATACCTGTTGGATAATGGATAATGGACAATAACAAATGCAACTATTTGGTGGCCAGAGCCACAATGTTGGCCAAGGGGATTGCATGGCCATAATGTGGGGCCAAGGGGATGGCAGGGCAATAAATTATCTTTACTTTACTTTCGAGCATCAAATTAGGTTTAGCTGACAAGAACCAACAAAACACCAAAACAGCAAACAAAACAGAAACATGGAAAAACGATAAAGTGATACACAAAAACCAAACCAAACTAAATTAAAATATTTTGCATGAGCTCCAGAGCTCCCAGGGGCTAACGCAGGCATGGCATGGTAGCAAGGGGGAGGAGCAGGGATATGGTTATCATGGCAGCCAGCGAATAAAAAGAGAAGTGAAAAAGAAAATAGGAGAATAAAAATAACAAAAATGAAACACAAAACGAGAAGGTACGTGTGAGACGCTTCTTAGGCGTCACAACTTTTATACCCGACACTCAGTACTACTTCTGCACCTTAGCGGTTATTTGTCAAATTTTAAATTTGTTCTTCATCTGTCATCTGTATCAACAACACTACTCACGCCAACACGCTCCTTTAGCTCGTTACCCTCCCCTAGAGCCACGTACTGCAGAGTCAGGGCAGAGACGCGGCAGAGGCAGAGGCAGAGACGTGTCTGCGCGAAGCAGAGTGTGAATGAGAGAATGTGAAAAAAAACAAATATAAGCTGCGGGACGGGGTGGGTTCAGCCACTGGAAATTATTTTGCCCATAATAATGATCCAATCGGATCCCAGTTTGATGATCTCATAGATCTGGTCATTACCTACGGAATGGAGATTTTAGTTTTCCTTTATTCTCAAAACTGTAGGTTTCGGAGGTTTTCGCTCTTTTGCGGTGGCGGAAGGGGGCGGGGCTAATTATTGAAATACTCTGGTTTCAGTGTGAGCATACAGCAGTCCGGAGCCGAAATTTGGTGGCTCTAGCTCTTATAGTCTCTGAGAACTAGCCGACAAACAAGACGGACGGACGGACAGATGGACAGACAGACATGGCTCAATCGACTCGGCTATTGATGCTGATCAAGATACTTTATGGGTTCGGAAACGTTTCCTTCTGTGCGTTACATACAACCGTTATTCACACAAATACAATATACCCCATTTACTCTTCGAGTACCGGGTATAATGACACAAAGAATTGATCAAACATCCGCTTCCGGCGAAATGGCGATGACAACATGGATGCTAAACCTGGTACTGAAACGGAATGGGATGGAGCGGAATGGAATGGAACGGCCAAGGATGGCAGGGAATGGATTGTAGGAACGGGAGGTGTCGTTGCCAATTTACAGCAGCCGCTGGGCATAAAAACGACAGCGATAGAATGTTGGGAATAAAGAAGGAAGGATTATAAAAATATGAAAAGAGAAACAGCGGGACAAAAATAGAAAGAGATGGAAGGCAGGAGTCATGAATGTAGACAAAGCAATTTGTTTATTGTTTCATAATTGAAGCCAAGAGGCTGCCTGAAAACATCCCACCGCGGCACTGCGACCTACAACATCTTCCCTGCTCTGCTCTGGCATAAGGACATGGGGCCATAAGGGCACGCAAACGTTATTGTTACGCATGAAGAGCCATGGCTTAGAATAATTCATAATTAGAAATATGTAACTTTAAGAGACTTTCCCTCCGGCAGGCAGTCACAATGAAGGGTTCCCCCAATGGATTTTGGGATTTTCGCGAATATTTTCCTTTCTGTTCGTATTATAAGAGACTTTAAGCAAAGTTGTCTGCACTCAATTTCACTGTTAATAATCGGATCTCCCGTACCTTTACCTTTTTTACCTTTGCCAATTCCCCACAAGCCGCTTGGCTGGCAGCTGAAATCCCCCCCCCATCCAACTTTGTTAATTGCCTTAACGCAAATAAATTCCACTTGGCAGGAGGCCAGGAAAAAAATACAAAACAAAATGAAAAACAAAAGCATTTTATCAGAGCCATTTTAAATGATTTCCAAGTATGCCCCAGGGCCAGCACTCTCTGCCACCGCCCCGCCAGGCCACGTGTGGCAGACAGCAGCGTAGCATCTGGCAGGGGTCTCATCTCTGGATTGGGATTCACATCAATTTGGTGCAAAACAGCTGTTCAAATCCAAGGCCAAAACGAGCGGAAGATGAACCATGGAAATGAGTGGACGAAGAGAAAAAAGAAGAGTGAGAGGTGGAGTGAGAGGGAGCTAGATAGAAGAGAAACAAAAACTCCATTAAGCCGTGTAACAATAACATTTATTCTCTCTTTCTCTGAAAAAATTACACCAAATAACTGAGACACACACACACATGGGAGGAGGGAAGGAAAAGAGCTAAAGATTTATAAGCATTTTACACCTGTGGCATCTTTTTTTAGGCCCCAAGCACACTCACAAGCATATCCTCCCCAAACCATGCCAAAGACCCATCTAGAAGCATTCAATTGAAATGGAGCTGAAACTGCTCCATACCTTTGGTTATTTGTGTGTGAGTGTTTGTGTTTGTTTGTATGTTTGTATGTGTGCGTGCAAACAAGCTGAAAATTCATTAAACTCGAGCAATACATTTGTATACCTGGTACTCGAAGAGTAAATAGGGTATATTGTATTTGTGCACAAAGTGAATGTAGGTAACGCACAGAAGGAAACGTCTCCGACCCCATAAAGTATATATATTCTTGATCAGCATCAATAGCAGAGTCGATTGAGCCATGTCTGTCTGTCTGTCCGTCTGTCAATAAAAGCTAGACCACCAATTTTTGCATCGAGACTTCTGTATGCTCACACTGTTACAAGTGTATTTCAAAAATGAACTACGACCCCTTCCGCCCCTGCAAAAGGGCGAAAACCTCACAAATCTAAAATTTTGATGATACAAGAATACTAAAAACGCAATTCCGTAGGTAATGGCCATATCTATCAGATCACCACATTGGGATCCGATTGGATCAGTATTATAGCCACAATGGAGAAATTAATTTCCAGTGATTAAACCCACCCTGTCCCGCAGCTTTTGTTGTTCTTTTCACATTCTCTCATTCACACTCTGCTTCACTCGGCCCCTGCCTCTGCCGTCCCTCTGCCTATGCCAACTTTTAACCCACCACGTCCCGCAGCTTATATTTGTTTTTTTTTGTGTGCGGGCGCTGCCTCTGCCGCGAGTCTGCAGCCTGTGGGTCTAGGGAAGGACGGCTAAGGTGCACATGTAGTAGTGAGTGCCTGGTATAAAGGTTGTGAAGCGTAAGAAGCGTCTCACACGTCCCTTCTCGTTTTAACTGTTTTCTTTGCCATTCATCGCATGCTACGTAGTACGTACCATACACCACTCGACCTCCACTTCCACTCATTTCATTTCTTTTCCTTCCGTTTCGTTTATTTTATTTGATTTCTTTCGCATTTTCTGTGGAGCTGCCGCCGCTTCCTGCTGCTGTTCGTTTTGCTTGCCATTTTGATTGTCCGCATTCCAGGAGTATTTCCATTGGCGAGAGCGAGCGAACTGTCATTAATTATTTTCAATTTACCAAAAATAAGCGAAAGAAACAGTTGCCAAAGGAGTAAATGAAGCAGCAGCAACTTTGTCAGCTGTACCTGCTAATGAGACGGCAGCAGGTACAGTCTCGCCTCTGTAAAACTTTGACAGTTGCATCATAAATACCCTGAGGGTGGCTGGTGTTGGGTCTGGGACTAGGACTGGGTATAATGAATTGACAGCCTTGTCAAGAACCTTTAAGTAATGGCTCTCCTTCTCTTCTCCTTGCAGGTGTCTACGGCATCGCCCTGTTTCATGTTGTAATTCGAGGACTTTCGGTAAGTTTCAATCATCGAGTGTACGGCGCCAAAAACAAAAGACAAACAAAACAGCAAACCGGCCAAATGGGAAGGGCGTCTTCTTCGGACTGAAAAGTACCTGATATCTTGTAGTTGATTTGTTGCATTCTCTGTGGCAAAACAAAGTTTGAAGGTAGCTGAAACATCGAAGGGATAACAGAGATTGTCCTCCTCCAGCTGCAACGAGCAACGGGCAGAGAAAAGTTTCAAGCTATGTAGTTTTGAGGTCAATTTGGCAGGGGGCCCCCCCCCCCCCCCCCAGAGAGAGATACACGTAAATGAAGAACAAGTTTTGTTTTGTGGCTCCCTAACTGAAAATAAATTAAAGTTTCCATTCGGGAAAACAGCCGCACTAAAAATGAACACTTTATCCATAAAATCGATGGGATATAAATCTCCAATGAAACTGTGGATGGAAACTGTTGATGTGAAAAGTTGAAACCTTTTGGTGACCTTAAATAAAACAAGCAAACTTACTCGAACTCGGTCTGACTTTCGCTGGGCAATATAAAGGTCTAAAATTTAAGTTTAACTGAACATTCTTTGCATTAGAGAAGAAACAAAACAACGGAATTCCCATGTTAACATGATATAAATATAATGTACAGTGGAGTAATCCAAAATAAACCCTAATCAGGCAGATATGTATCTACATACCGGACTCCATAAACCCAAAGGACAGCGAAATATGTGTGCGAAAATACCTTAAGAAAAAATCAAAACAATTGGATTCGCATTGATTTGGAAAAGCTACTTACTAGTGCGATTATGGAAATAGTTCTTTACATCCTGAAGCATCCTAGCATTCTGAGTTTCGTTGCTGGGGTTTGTCCTGGGGATGTGTCCGAGCCAGAAAACACAAATTAAAGTGCTACTTCAGACGCGTGTCACAGGTGCCAAAGGATTGGCCAGGATGTCTTAATCAGTTGCAACGGACACAAGGCTTTCTCTCGATTTCCAGCTCCATCTCCTTCTCAGAGACTGAGCCATATGTTGGGCATCGTCCTGCAGTCTACAGCAGCACCTCGGTCCTACCCAGAACATGGGTAGTGGCAGCGGGAGGGGGCAGGGGCAGGGGCAGGGCTTAAGTCAATGCCAATATATTAAACTTATTGTGCACTGCTTGCGACATACTAGTGGCCCCTGCAGAATGGGCCCATGCAACTGCCAGAGAGGGGAGTCTGGGGGCATTGCGGGGCATTGCCCAGTGGCCATGCTGCACTTCCGGCAGGACTGTCGTCCTTTCGGCAACGTTTGACATTTCGCCAATGCTTGGCTCTACCTCTACGTTTTCCCTTTTTGCCCTGGGATAGAGCTGCTCGCTCCCCTTGTTTTCTGTGCCAGTCGCCAGTCACCATGTGCACATCCTTGCCGTGCCTGTTCCTAGTCCCCTGATCCCCTGCTGACCCTTCTGTGGCCATCTATGGCCATCTCTCTTTAGCCCGTCCTTGTCGCTGTTCATTTCAGGAAATGCATTTCGTCAGCGTTGAATGAAAACGAAATTGCCAATTTCAATGAGGATGAAAAGAGCAAGAGGCAGCAGAATGGAGGAATGAGGAAGGAGCTGCAGCAACACGCCATAGGAGGAGCAGCAGGAGTAGCTGGAGGATGCTGCAGGCTCAATCAGACAGTCAATGCGTTGCTGCTGTGATTTTATCCTTTTTTTGCGGCAGGAGTTGCCAGCCCCAGACACAGACACAGGCGCAAAAGCCAACTTTTTGGCCACAAAATTCAAGTGTGACAAAAAGCACGAAGGGGAGAGCCAGAGAACGGAGAGGAGATTGGTGAGATTGGACGGAGATCAATGATGATAACGTTGCAATACGATAAACCATTCACGTGACCGACTTGAGAGACTGCGCCAACTTAGTACATTAGGGTGCAGGACGGGGGGAAGCTTTGGACCTGTTATGACAGCCACTACGTAAATCAACTCCTCGAACGCTCAATTTCCAAGCAAATGAAAGCCAAACAAGAGCAACAACAGTTTACTTTTACTTAAGCATTGCCATTACTCCCACTCTCAACCAGCTACTCGCAATCCAAACAAAAGCCGTGGAAAATTATATCAATGCCATTGGCTGTGGCTGTGGCTGTGGCTTTAGCTGCGGCATCGTTGCTTGGTTGTCCTGGTCGGGTTATGACTGTGAACATCCTTCCCTGCAGCCCTGGTTGCTGGTCCTTCTCAATTTCCTTTTGGTGCTTCTGCTGATGCCATTATCGCCAGCTTTTGCCACGTTCCAGTCAAACAAATCGTCAAGCCAGAAACCCCCCCCCCCCCCCCCCCCCCCCCCCCCCCA